CATCACTCCCGACAGCACCAAGTCCACCCAACAGAAGGTGAAGGAGACGTTCACCGATACTGGCGACAAGTTCGTTCGGTATGTAGCCTCACATCATTCAACACTCAACATTCTTGACTAACAACTACCGCAGTGGCGCCCAGCCTGACTCTTCCAAGTCCCACGGACAAGAGTTCTCCGACAAGGTCGGCCGCAGCAAGGACCGCGAGGTTCATGGCAGCACCGGCGGCTCCATACTGGACAAAGCCAAGCACATTGCCCATCTCGACAAGCACTAGATGCTCTCTATCCACTTCCAACTTTACACGCCTTTGTACGAATAGAATGACGAGCGATGATGGGACGGAATGAGGGCAATCGCTTCTCGTGATCCGGTCGGATTCCTTTCTTTGCATGATACCAAAGCCCAGTGTGGCATTGCTATGAGGAAACTCTAATACAATATAATATCTTGACCAATACAATTTGTGCTTGAGTGATTTGAACTCCAGATTGTCATGTGTGACTCTATCTACTGTATGTAGCTCACAGTTGGAAGTGCAAGAGTGAAGAGGCTAGCTAGGCTTCGACCTCATAAGTCGTGACGGTAACAGAACGTCGTTCCCCATGTATATAGCTTGCTCAACTACCACTACCAAATCTAAGCAACAGTCATCCAAGTGCATCATATACTGTGTACACCTCCCTTCCTGATCGAATCTCAAAATCCGATATTTTCCATGACACTCTCAACATCGTCCAATATAAATCGTAAACTATTATTCATTTCAATAAAGTCATTATATATATATCATTAAAACCCATTTACAGAACCATCCCTCTAACCCCTAGCAGCAGCACTCCCAGCATCCAGCCTCCGAACCAACACCACCAGCCCTCTCCCAACACCTCCCTCGCTCTTATCCTCGCCGCGGCCCCCGTAAACTCCGCCGGCCCCGACTGCACTGTACCAGGCTGATCTGTGACCGTGAGGGTCGAAAATGGATTCGTCGTCGTACCCACCACGACCCCCGTCCCCGCATCACTTACCACGGTGCCATTAATCGTCGTAGCCGGCCCTCCCTGCGTTAATGTGACGCCCAGCCCTGGAATGACGATTGAGCCGCTGGTGCTGACTACGGTGTATGTTTTCCCGCCAATTGTGATGACGGCCCCTGGCGTAGGCCGCGGCGTCGGCAGAAGGTTTGTGATCCCCGAGAAAGGAATCGTGCTCGTGGCGCCGGATATGGGATCCACGACTACAATGCCAGTTGCCCCTGGCGCCTCCGACAGCACGACGCCATTCGGCAACGTAACCGCCGGACCCCCTTCGGTGAGCAGAGTCCCACTGACGATGATGCTGCTCCCGCTAGGACCTGAGATGGCGGTTGCGGTAATGAGTTCACCGTTGGGAAGTGTAACAACGACACCTTGTGTTGGTACAGCGGCTACGGGTTGTGGCACGTTGATTGTCGAGGGTGCGGGGGCACCTGGGGCAGATACGATGATGTGGCCTGGGTCGACCATGGATATTGATGTCCCGGCACCTACGGTTATGCCAGGCGAGCCGGGGGCAAGGGTTGTGGTGCCGACGATGATATGGGTTGGATCGGAGGGGTTTAGAACGATGGGTGTGCCGCCAATTGTAGCGATCGTTGTGGGTGCAGGTGCGGGTGGTATGGGGACAGGGCCTGGGGTTATCCCGGGGTTGTTTGGCTCGTTTGGTGGAGGTTTGTTAGGGTCATTGGGATTTGTTGGGTTATTTGGATGGGGATTGTTCGAAGGAGGATTATTTGAAGGTGGATTATTCGTTGGAGGATTATTAGAAGGGGGGTTATTCGTTGGAGGGTCAACAGGAATAGGAGTATTGGGGGGGTCAACAGGAACAGGTATCGCGCTTTGTCCAGGGGCAGGTGGTTGAGGAGGGTCAACAGGCGGGTCATTGGGAGGATTAGGTGCATCACTCTGTCCTGGAGCAGGTGGGTCAGGTGTCTTCGTAGGTTGTACTTGGCTCTGCGCTGGTTGACCCGGCGTAGGTTCCTGCTTCGGCACCGTGCTCGTGAGCGTAGCAAATATATTCCCAACCGAAGTCAAAGCCCTCGGAGGATCGTACAGCCCATAAAGAGCAAGGTCGCACGTTGCCCAACTAGGATCCAGACGCCGAATAGCCTCAGGCACTGCAAGCCAGGGGTTATATGATCCGTTGATGATCGAGCAATGGTCTATCACGCACTCCGGCGCCCCGTTCCATGCAGACCAGGGGTATGGCTCGGCGAGATCGGCGAAGTTGAATGAGTATGCATATGGTTCGAAATCGAACATTCCAGAATGAGACCCTGTTGTGATAGGGAATGCTCGCTGAGAGAAGAGTTCGGATGGCGCCATTGTTAGGATTTCGCCTGCGTGCTCTGCTCCGACTTCGACGGGAACGCCCGACCATGTGCACTGTGCACTTATACGATTGAGAGAAACGTAGACATTGCCAGAGTACCACGTAGTACCTCCGGGTAAGACTGTGTATGGTCCTGTAGTAATTTCTGTCCAGGTGAAGTTCGTTGGAGGCCGGCTGATTACCCCGTTTCCAACGGGCGCTGTAGCGCACATATCACGAGTGACATTTGTTTTGGGTGGGAAGTAGAAAACTTCTACTCTGTCGCCGCCGATTTGGCAGCGTTGATTCGCTGTACAAGTAGGTTTCTCTGTGCGGCAGTGAGGGGTATATGGCGTGTTCGTGAAGTTCACAGTATGTTGAATCGTCACGGGTGCGCCGTTGGCCGTCATGTGGTACCCATCGTCAATGAAGAGTCCACCTGGAGGAGGTGTAGTGACAATGATATAATTACTCCCCGGCGGTGATCGATGGATATACTCGTCTGCGAGCGAAATTGTGAACGGCAATGGTGTTGGAAACGTGGTCGTTTCCCCATTGACAACCCAAAAACTCGCCCCTGGGCCAAGGGAGACCACTGTGTTTGCCTTCTCGAAAGAGACCGACTGGTAAACACTGGAGGCAGAAGCGTATCGTGACCAAAGTCCACTGCAGTCGTCCCAACTAACAGTGCAGTTTGGGTCGTTGAGGGATGCCCATGAAACGCCTTGAGCGAGAATTACAGTCGTTGATGGCAGGAGAACCGTTGTCGCTGTTGATGTCGGCATGGATGTGATGACTCGTGGATGACCATCGCAGAGGGTGTAGAACGACGTTGTATAATAAGTGCTGTAGATAACATTTAGCAAACGGACAAAGACATTTCAAACATTAGTTAGTACTTACTGAACTTCATAGACTGTTGTGCTTCTAATTACTGATGTGATGTTGAATAGAGACGCAGTAGCCGTTATGAAATCCGAATTAATCGACGTAAAACTAAAGTACGCGTTCTGGCATTGAAGTGCATAATCGCTGCCTGTGCCGGTGAAGGGGACAGGCGCCGAGAAATTGCCCGCCCATGGATTAACATAAGATACAGGCCCTGTAGGTGTTGGAGTGGCAGTTGAATTTGCAATAGGAGTGTTCCCGATAATCGTAGATACTGCTAGTACATTTAATGAAGCACTCGCAGATGCGGATCCCAACCCGGACGTAGATGATACGCTTGACGTTGTGACGGTAGCTCCTAGACCTCCTGATGTCAAACTGCCGACACTCTGTGGCGAAGATATCGGAGCAGTGGAAGACGTCGAAGAAGATAGTTGAACTGAAGAACTGCTCGATAAAGATGATCCAACTATGGAGGAACCTGAAGAAGATGACTGGCCCGTGGAGGTGCTTGACGAAGATGTCGAATTTGAGGTGAAGCTAGAGCTCCGTAGCGATCTTGAACTCGAACTCGAACTCGAGGACTCTATGGCAATAGGTAAGCATTGAGCTGCACGCTCGAGTTGAGTACCGATACATACCAGAAGCAGCAAAAGCGAGTGACAGCCAACTGAGCAAAAGAATAACCTTCATGATGCCTGCACCTACCATCGTGTGTAGGTAGGTCAAACACAAGAGGGATATACACCTAGGAAAGACCAAGATACATAAAGTGGCTAACCATTCGCAAGGCAGATTCGGTCCCTCGCAATATGTACAAAATCCTTGTCCGTACACATTGGCGTAGTTCCGCAGGTGACAACGAGGAACGTGCTGGTCGCGTTTTCCATATTAAACCCCCAAGTGTGTGGTCCTTGGAAGCGCCAGAGTTGCACGCAAGGTCTGGATATGATAGGATCCGCTTCGATACCATCCACGAGTCCAAACCGCTTCGGGCAAAAGCAGTGCTCGGAGGCTCACCTTGTAAGGCTTGCAGTGCAGTAGGAGATATTAAATTGCATGGGTTGATCCCGGGCCTAAAAACCCAAGGGAACACCTGTACCGCCGATCCACCAATCGGAAAGATGAGCTCGCCGAACAGCCTCAATCAATTGCCATCCAGACCCTGTTTAGGCGGCATGTAATATCGCCCTTGCAGACGCAGCTGCAGAAGTCAACTCAAATGTGCTCGACGGGTCCTTTCCGGGGTGGGGGCCGTGCGAAGATCTCTGTTCGAATTCAACAAGCACTCTATCCATACTTCCCGTGGGGATTAGGATAGCCCCAATACGAGCTATGGTTGATGAATGTTGCAATATTGTGACCCTGAATGTCTCAAGAAAGGACCTTCTGGTTGGGCGGTGCTGCAGAAGGATTTGTGTGCAACCACGCTGTATCTCATACCGGCTGACCGCCACGGTCAGCATTTTGAAAATATCGACGACTAGCCCATGGCCGCCATTCGGCGAAATTGTTCAGAGGTGCAGGGGTGAGGTCTCTAGGAGGAGGTCGAAGGGACGAGCCGGATGGAGCTTGCGACAACGACCACTTGTCCAGCGCAAACCCCAATGCTCAGCGCAGAAGAGGATCAGGAAAGTGGTGCCATCGGAGGAAGAGCAGTGCAAAAATAGAGTCGGGGGTAAGAGTGCAACTAAGCAAGCAAAAGGGGACAAAAATAAGGATGGATGGATGTTTGTTTCTTATAAAGAAAAAAAAAAAAGAGCGACACGGGCAGGGATCGAACCTGCGCGGCCGAAGCCATTAGATGACTGAAATATGAGAAAATTCAAGTCTAACCCATTAACCACTCTGGCACCGTGTCTGATCAGATGAATATCTGAGGTTGCGTTCGAGTTGACAATAAAGGTTTTTGTAAACTAATTGATTTATATACGCCTTTCAAAATACGAGGCTGTGACAGAAGAGCGAAAATTCAGTGACTCACTGTGGAAGAGGGAGCGGGGTACCAAGGCCCATCCATCGTTATCGGGCATAGGAAAGATTCATTGGTGCATCGTTTGATTGGCTATCTATAGCGTTGACTTTCCACTAAGAGACCACGTCTTTTTGCCCTCATTGTAAGCAACCTTTCCTTCCTTCAAGAGCTTGTTGAGAATCTGCAGGATCCCTTGCTCTGCTGGTGCATACAAATTCTCCGGGTAATCTTTGTATATAATTTTCACAATATCCATAGCCGTCCAACCCCCTTCCTTTTCCTGAGCTAGTACATCCAGGACCTGTTTCTCTCGTTGCTTTCGGTGCTTGATGTACTCTAGGATCTTCGCTGGTCCGTCTTCAATGACTGGCCCGTGGCCAGGATATGCGCGACCCTTGAACTGTTTAGCCATACTGTCGAGACTCTTCATGTACGCCGTGAGATCCTCGAACACAGCTGTGCCCTGGCCCAGAACGTTATCAGCAGTGAACATGGCATCTTCCTCCTCAAGAATGAAGGCCATATGGTCAGTTGTGTGACCAGGGCAGTGGAAGGCCCGCAGCGTTGCCCCTGCAGTCTCGAACTTCTGCCCATCGCTGATGTCCAGCCATCCTTCCTTTGGATCTTTCTTGTACACGATTGTTCCCGATGATGCTTTCAACAGATCAGGCACCCCTTCAATGTGGTCATGATGCCAGTGCGTCAGAATCGCCTTATCGATGGTGATCTTCTCATCATCCAACACCAACTTCAACGACTCGATCCACTCCGGTCTGCCCTCTCCTGTGTCTATCAAGAGGCGGCTTGGGCCTTGGCCGATGATGTATGTGTTCGTGCCTTTAAACTTGAGCTGGAGAAGCGCAAGAGGAGGACTGCCGCATACCTTGCAGAGTGAACTAGACGCTTGTCAGCCAGAGTTCATTGTCACAAGCAAGCAAACGAGACGCGCACCTTTCCCGGATTCCCTCCCAATACTCGAATGACCCTCGAACTCAACTTCTCAACCGTTGGAAGAGGTACCAAAGGCTCTGCCATCTTCGAATAAGGTCTGTGAAACGTTGAGGGAGCACGCAATAGCCATCGAACATGCATGTTCTCTCAATCGAGTTATCCCGAGGTACGGACTTTACAGAGTCGCCTAGCGTTAGCGCCGAGACTCACAGCACAACATTTTGGGACTCCTTCACCCCAGTCTAACCACTCAGAGCAATCGCAAAGATGGCGCCGACAGAGGTGGATTCCGATGATGAGACCCCGTGAGTTTTGTCTTATTTGATAACGTTGTTTTTAATGGATGGAATAGCCAACTTTCGATTGGGGCGCTGGATGCCTTGAAAGAATTTTATCGAGAACGAGATGAGCAAATCAAAAAGTTCGAGGAGATCAAGGCTCAAGCTGAAGATGACCTCGAAGTACGAGAAAAGCTGAGCATGGATGCCTTTACCGAAGACTGGAACGCAAGCCAATTTTGGGTATATTCTCTACATAAAAAATGGGCCATAAGTCGGCTCACAACTCATAGTACAACGACGAGACTGCCACGACATTTGCCCGACAACTCTTGGATGGCACTAAAGATGAGACTCATATAGCAGTGGTATCGGCTCCGAGTGTCTTCATTCAGCTGAAGAATCTTCTAGTATGTTGCGGCGTGGAGTCAGGAGTTTCGTTGCTGATATAGATAGGCATCTGGAGAATATTCATGCCGTCCCCAGATTACGCTGCTTGAATTCGATGAACGCTTCGCTGTGTTCAAAGAGTTCGTACACTATGACTTCGCGAAGCCCATGAAACTTCCGGTTGAATTAAAAGGCTCCTTCGATCGCATCATTGCCGATCCACCGTTCCTAAGCCAAGATTGCCAGACCAAAAGTATTTGCTTACTCAAGGTCTAAATCTAATTCGATCATCATCTAACAATCAACAGCTGCATTGACCGTACGCTGGCTCGCAAGGTCCTGGACAGCCATAGACCCATCGAAGAAAGCAGAGTCATTCCACTTGATCGTCAGTACAGGAGAGCGAATGGAGTCTATCATTGCGAAATTATATGCCAAACCTGGCCTGCGCACAACCACATTCGAGCCGAAACATGCTAAAGGACTGAGCAACGAGTTTCAGTGCTGCTCCAACTTTGAGTGTGACGCCTGGACATGGGCAAAATAATCTCGTATCATAAGATCTCTTCGACTACTTATGTATTTTGATGTTACTCATATACATAACGTTATACCCTTTAGATACTCGTTTTTACAAGTTCTATTCGTGTTCAAATCGATGCCCGATATGCGTACTGCAAGTGTCACACAATTCATCTCCCGCATATTCAAAAATTGATGCCTATACGTATACCAAAGTACACCAAGAGGAAATACTGATGTCACTGTGAAAGCTTCGAAAATATGCTTGGAACAGGTCAAAATGTGGTCATCAGTTCCTCGGCAATACTTGCCACATCCTTTACCCCACCATCCCCTCACTCGCAGTCTATCTCCTGTGTGCTCCGAACTCACGACCCACGACATCACGTCACCACGTCACAGACACCTTTGAGCACCACAATGGCCGCCTGTATTTTCTGCAAGATCATTCGGGGTTAGTCTCCCTCTTCACACCTACAGAACCCCACTAACAGCATGGACAAGGCGAAATCCCCTCCATGAAGATCTTCGAGAGCGAGAAGACCCTAGCTTTCCTAGACATTGGCCCTATCAGCAAAGGACATTCTGTACGAGTCTTACTGGCCCTTGTTAGCCAGGAGTTTTGGGCTAATGAATAAACTCTTGGTAGCTCGTCATCCCGAAATTCCACGGCGCAAAACTGCACGATATCCCCGACGAACAGCTCGCTGAAGTGCTGTCCGTGGCGAAAAGGATTGCTATTGCGCAAGGCGTGGAGGACTACAATATTCTGCAGAATAATGGGAGGATTGCACATCAGGTTGTCGATCACGTTGGTGTTCCTGCCGGAGGGCTATGATCCATAGACTGACGCCGGATTAGGTACATTTCCATATGATTCCGAAGCCGAACGAGACCGAGGGGCTAGGAATTGGATGGCCGACACAGGAGGCGGACAAGGGGGAGCTTTCGAAACTGCTGGAGGAGATCAAATCGAAGATGTGAAAGGCAATAGGGCTGTAATTGAGCAAACAGGGTTCTAGAAGATTGGAACTTGCTGAGTCAACCAATGGACATATCAAGACCTTGCAGTATGGCTACCATGCATCAATTTCTAGGGATGAATTTCGAGAGGATTTATTATTTGCTCATACTACCGCCCCTTGAACGTCGGCTTCCTCTTTTCTCTAAACGCGACCAATGCCTCATCTCGATCCTGTGTCTTCAAAACAATATCATACGCAGCATTTTCGGCCTTCTCGCCCAACGCACAGCCCTCAACCGCGGCCAGGGCAGCTTTTATCGCTATCGGTCCACCCTCACATATCTCTCGTGCAAGCTTCACTGCCTCCGCGAGCACCATCATCCGTCCGACGCCTTCTTGCTGTGCCTCTTCCGGTTTTATCTCTACTAGTCTATCACACAATCCTAAAAAGTATGCTTCAGGGGCGCCAACTCTTCGACCCGTCAATATCATGTCTCGCGCCCGAGACAGTCCAATGAGAGCAGGTAGTCTGTATGTTCCTCCCGCACCTGGTATGATGGCTAAGCGCGTTTCAGGGAGAGCTACGGTCGCTGTAGAAGCAAATACACGCATGTGTGTGGTCAGGGCCAATTCGAGACCGCCGCCGAACGCAGGTGCGGCGAGTGCGGTTATCGTTGGGATGGGTAGACTGGCAATAGAGGCGAAGGTTCCACGGAGGGAAGCTAGGAAGTTTGCCGTACTATCCAATTGTCAGTTTAAAGATATATCATTGTGATTGTCAGTATTTACTCTTCTGGCGTGAATACCGCGCGCTCCTTCAGGTCTGCGCCTGCGCAGAAGCTCGCGTCTACCTCGCTGGCCAATATCAGCGCTCTCGTTGCGCCCGTCTCTCCCTCATTATGTATGCTGTCTATTTGATGATTCAATTCGGTGAGCAATTGTCTCGATATAGCGTTGCGTGCTGCGGGGCGGTTGAGAGAGAGAATGCGAATGCTGCCGCAGTGTGGTGCGGGGACGCTGGAGACTTTAATCACTGGTATGGGTGCGGACGAATATGAACAGCGCTGGATCTGGCGTACAAACAGCCTGGGGCTTGATCTCAGGAAACTCATAGTGAGGAGTGAAGGAATTAGTGACTTCTGGCCCTTCTGCGAATTGTGAGAAAGTTGCTCCTCCTGTTTAGCATTCACTCGGCAAGCTTGGTGAGCAGCGGCTATCAACGGCCGGCTCGGTATAACGTTTATCCCTGAAGCTATGACCATGAGCTATTTTAGCTCTTCGTATTTTAGGCTTCAAACTCCAAACTCCAGTAACTAGAAGACCCCACTACTTGACGTCTCAAGATCGACAACGACCAAATCAGTTCGTTCTCAACATCGGCTTGAGAGCCTTCTGCAAGCCCGCCTCCAGTACATTTGTCAGGTGCTTCTCTAGGGAAACAACTCGATTCCAGTTGCAAGGCTACGAAGACCCATATAGACACCACCCTTCTTTTTTTTGCCACAAAAGACTATACGAGAAGGGAATTTGGGATTTAAGTACCCTCTACTCGCTACACTAGCCATGAAACTTGACTTTTCTTAGCATAAAATACTTGAAATGTCTTCTGCCGGCCTACCTTCGGGAAATAACGCTACAGAAATGGCGCCACCAAAGCTGGACACCTTGCCCTCAGAGCTTCGAAAGCTGATCGTCTCGTTTTTGGCTCCATCTGGATCTGAACGTGAACGATATGCTAGATACTCAAAACTTCCGTTGAAGAACGCCAATCTCGCACATGC